TAGAAAACGCAAGATACGCCAGCCCGATCGTGGGATCTGCATGGTGGTTGCGCGATCAGATGTTACTGCTTATACACAAGAAAAATCCCCGCAGAGAACAAGCTACCAGATGCAGACGACAGAATTGCGGTTCGGCGCTAAATCTACACACAGCTCCTTGCCGTCGGGACGTGGGGCGGTGGCCTGTCTTAATAAGTCAGGAAACCCCAGCCAGTCCTGATTTCGAATATTTTGGTCCTTGCCTTCTCTCTCTCTCTCTCTCTCTCTGCTCTTCCTCTCTCTCCTCTCTCCTCTCCTCTCTCTCTCTCTCTTCTCTCTCTCTTCTCTCGCTTGTCTTCTCTCTGTCTCTCTCTGTCTCTCTCTCTCTCTCTCTCTCTCTCTCTCGCTCTCTCTCTCTCTCTCTCTCTCTCTCTCTCTCTCTCTCTCTTCTCTCTCTCTCTATATATAGATATACTATATATACTATATATATATTATAACATCAGGAGTATATTGAGTCCTCAAAGAGTATTATTTACTCTGATAACTACTATATGTAATTCATATTTATGAAAAAAACTAGGCCGGTCCTTTCTTTGACTGGTGGGGGACGCGGCTTGCTATTGCTGTCACTGCTGCTGTACGCACGCGGCTGCGTCGTCCCTGTGCTGTGGACGGCGCCGGTTGATGACGTCTGTGTCTGATGTCGCCGCTGCGCGCTAACCGGGATGCATTCTCGACTGGCGGATTACCGGTCACTATAGACGCGTAGGTGAGTGAAACAGCACAGTTAGATGGCGTCCATAGGCAGCAGGCCTGAATAAGCACTCGAACAGAAATTAATTAAAAAATACGCACACTGATTACTTCGCTTAACACGTTTATTCATTGCTTAAATAACTACCAGATTTCATGCCTCTTATAGTCTATGCTTCCTCCTCTAAACTTTTGCGCCAGCTCTATGATGCGAATTTCTGCAAAATTGTCTGAAAACAGATTTCAAACACAAAAATTACCAACCGGTCGCTTGTGGCCTACGCCATCCTGACAGAATGTCGACGATACACAACAAGCGACCAATTTTACTTCTCAATTGCTTTCTAGACGTCCACGAGGCAGTCTAACTTGCGTGCATTAATGCAAATTATTTGCATGTTCTACGTGCCGGAATTTTGGCGAAAAAAAATGTCCAAAAGGGCATATTTCTATAGACGAAATAGTTTGCGCAACGGTGAACAGATTTGCCGGAGTTACTGTCTGTATGCCTCCTGTAAGTTGCAAAGGCGTCCGCAGTCCGGCCCCCAGGGACAAATCGCTGCGTGCCCCATTGAAAGCGCTGGGTGTGTCATGTGTATGTGTGTGTGTGTGTTGTGTGTGTCCGTGTGCGTCGCGTGCGTGCTGCCGTGCGTTGCGTTGCGTGCGTGCTGTGCGTTGCGTGCGCTGCGTCGCGCTGCGTGCGTGCGTGCGCATTTGGGGGCGTGCGTGTGCAATAATAACAATAATAATAATAATGATAATAATAATAAAAATAATATCTCTCTCCCTCTCTCTCTCATGTATTGTTTTTCTCCCGGTGTATGCGTTTCGTACTACTACAGGTAACACGTGAACAGACACCTTTAGAGCGTCTAGCACCTCTTTATAAAGAGGGGCTCTCCCTATTACTATATATACTGCTGGTCCGTACCGGGCCGCCACGTGCGAACCATCCCTATGTAGGAGTTCTGACTGTACGCGCCTCCCTGTACGTGCCGTGTGTTACCTGCGTAGCAGCCGGCCGGCCGTCGGCTGCAGGTGAGAAGGCCGCCAGCTCGTCCGCGCGCGCGCGTGTGCGCGCGGGGCCCGTGACTAATGCACCGTTTTCACAGCCGAATAAGCGCGAACAAAACCGCCGGCGAGCCGCCTTTAGAATTTTTTTTATTGATAAGCGACAAGTGCCGCATGAGAGAGAGTGTCGTGCGCTGCGTGCGTGCTGTGCGTGCGTCACGCGTGCGTGTGGTGTTTGTGTGTGTGCTTCGTGCGTGAGTGCTTGTGTGTGTATGGATGTGTGTGCGACGTGCGTTGTAGGTGTTTGCGTGTTTGTGTCGGTAGTTCATTACGGTTGCGTTAGTTAGTTATAGTTGTACGGTGGTCTTGATGCGTGGTGTCTCTTTGCGCGTGTGAGTGTGTGTGTGTGGTGTGTGATTGTGTCTGCTTTGCGAATGTGTGTGTTGATGTGCTGTGCGTGCGAATGTGTGTGTGTGTGTGTCGTGTGTTGTGTGCTGTGTGTGTGTGTAGTGTGCGTGGCGTGCCGCTGTGCGTCGCGTAGCGGTTGTGCTGCGTGTCACGACAGCCGCAGTTGCTGCGATGGCACACTTGACTCTTCTATATCTGCCAAATTTGTCTCACGCACGCGACGCTTTCACGCGGCCTGGCGGTCATGCGCGCCTAGGGCGGAGTGTTCCGTCACTCTAATAAACGCGCGTTGCCGTGCCTTGCGCGTCCCACGCTCACTACCATATTATCTATATATATATATGATATATATGTATATATACGGACGCACGACGCGGCGCACTACACACACACCCGCATGGCAAGATTGCAACATGTCCTCGTTATAAACGAACATGATAATTTATATGCGGTACTTATGTGCCTACTGGCCTGCGTTCGTTGTAATAACAACGGGCGCCGGGATATTAGAGTTGGGGACACAATAGGTCCCACTATCTGTGTGTAAAGCGACAGTGCCGTCGTGCGATGGACGATATATGAGTATACCCTGTGCCGTGCGTGCGTGTGTGGTGCGTGCGTGCGTGCGACTGTATTTGTATGTCTGTGCGTATGCATGAAATTATCGAGTGATTCACGCGGTTTTTGATGCGTGGGTTTCTTCGCATCGGAGTTGCGGTGAATCGTCTTAGAGATGTGTATCTCACTCGATCTGATCTGAGCAAGAATACGTCGTTAATGTCTGCGCTATTATCCCGGGGAATTACTCGCCGCTCAATTTATGATGCATTTTTCTTATTCTTTCGAGTGATCATCAGACGGAGCGCACGTAATCGCAATCAGAATACGTTCGTATAACTTGTACAACGAAAGGGAGTTTTAAGTGCGCATTTATATAGTTTGTGTATAGCGAACGCGAAAATTCTACGCTTGTAATCGTACGCAAAGGGTTGCTCTTCGCACTTGTTGGCATCGTGCCAAATATCTGCAGGAATATAAACTTCGGTATGAATGCGTTTGTATCGTTGCTGTTCGTCTTGAATGAGTGAATGCATGATCGCCGGGCTAGCTGGGCGGGATCGTTCATTCATCGTTACGAGCGGTGTAACAAGGAATGTGCGTTGCGGCAGTCGGTCTGTATTTACGCGCTGAAGTGTTTCGGCTGATCGACGCACCCCGCTGGTCTGCCGTTCGCGTTCGTCTCATTTAGACGGTGATCTTTACGCTGTTTGCGCGAAGCATAATATATATATATAGATATATAATATATATAATATATATAATAGTACACGTTGGGGAAAGTTTAGCTCTATTCTAATAAATTATAGAAGAGTGAATTTTGTAAAACAAACATGCGTGCCCGTACATACGTATGGGCGGGCCCATGGTTAGGTCTTTGTGTGCGTGCGTGCGTGCGTACGTGCTCCCGTATGTGTGTGTGTGTGCGTGCGTGCGTGCGTGCGTGCGTGCGTGCGTGCGTGCGTGCGTGCGTGCGTGCGTGCGTGCGTGTACCCGTGTGCGTGCGTCGTACCGTGTATGCGTGTGCATGAGTGCGTATGTGTGCGTGCATGAGTGCGTGCCTGTTCGTACATGCGTGTGAGTGAGTTCGTGTGTGGGTTTGACCGTGCATGGATGTGCGTTCGTACGGTTGACTCGGACGCTAATGATGTAGATATATAGTTACAAACGATGATGGTCAGCGTCGACGTGAAAGACCAAGTATATAGGATACGAGCCCACGCGCAACGTATTCTCGTCTGCGATACGCATTCCGAGAGCGGTTCATAGTCAGCAGTGATACCTAACACGTACGATAGACGCTATTCATACCAATAGTTTCGTTGGAATTGTTATCGCTTTCATTGCAGTATCCTATACCTACATCTGCGCGACGGCTATATATGCAACCTTACCTACCAGACCTAACCGTCTATGCGAGCGTTAACGTAGAATGTGTTGCCATATGTGTGTGACCAGAGTACAGGTATATATAGACTCACGGCACGGGGGCCGTCTCAGTAATAAAATAATAAGAAAGAATACTACAAAGTTATATACTTATATTTCAATACCAGGGGTTCAATGGTTGTTTAATCTATATCACCAAATAATTTCCACTAAACGCCGTTTAAATACGCCACACAGTAAATCTATTTATTCGTGTTTATTTGCCACCATTTTAATTGTAATGGCCTATAGGGTTACATGGGTCATATGCAGGCGTACATGTCAGAGCTGGCCGTACGTACTGGACTTCATGTATGAGTGTATGTAATATGTATAGACTACTTCGCTCTTCGATGGGAACTGCGCGCGGGGCTGTGGGCAGTGGTGCGTGATTCATCGGCGACCCACAGCTGCCCAGTAATTACACGAATTGCTCGCCAAACAAGAGCTGGGCGGAGATAAATATTAATGTTGCCTTACTCGGCCGCATTGTGTGGTGTGTCGGCGCTGAATTATTGACGGCGCGCTCTCTCCCTCGCTCTCTCTCTCTCTCTCTCTCTCTCTCCCTCTCCCCCTCTCTCTCTCTCCTTCTCCCTCACCATCATCCTATCCTTTCGCTTTGTCTCTTCATAGTGCTGGGTTTGGCTCGCTTCCTCTACACAGCCTGGTGTTGGCTTTCTCCCACTATACTGCTGGGCTTGGCGCTCTCCCTAATGCTGCTAGGTTTTGCTAGCCGTCTATATTACTACGTTTCGCGCCCTCCCTCTTTTACCGCTGGGTTTGCCCATGACATTACTGCTAGCTGTGTGCGCAACTGCATTCTGCATTTCTACATTCCACGATATCTTTTGTACTTTCAGAGACCTCAGCAGTAATGTGATCAAGAACATAGAGAGCAATGCATTCGGTGTTCTAAAGCAGCTGCAGAAACTGTAAGTGCACCTTTATGGTTCCTGGTTCTCCTGTTTCTGAAAAACCCAGCGACGGCTCGTTCGTCAGACGGCCTAGGCCATGCCGGCATGGGCAATGATTACCCGAATGCCACTAAATATATCTAGGGTGTTTAAGTCGAGGAGGTTGCATTTGCACGGATGCGAATAAGTTATACTCACAAAACGCTGCTGAAATTCAGTGCAAAATTGCCTGCTCATTCTGGACGCTGAGACTTCACTTGTGTGTGTTCAAATATTGAACTCGAAATGTGCGCAGCACGGCTATCTTTTATAAATACACAATCCACGTACTTCAGGAGTTCCCGCAGTGCCCCCCTCGCCGTCCTTACCCCCACCGTAGCTCTAACTCTGGAAGACGGGTTAGTTTTCGGCAGCTGTTCGAAGAGTGTTGAAACAAATGGCACTTTGCGGCGCGGCGGCTCTTGTTCCTAGAGCGAAACAGTCTGCGAGTGAAATGTAACCATCCAGGATGGGCCCGTTTTTGACCGAGGATATATATATATGTCAGTCTTGTTCTAAAGAGTGAAACAACATGCGAGTGATATTTAAGCGTGTCCAGGATGGTCGTCTTTGACCATGAAGAGGTGATTTGAGATACATGAGACATACATCATTACATGTCTAGTGGCCGCGGTTGCGCATGTAGTCAGTCACACGAGCACGCGGGAATGGCTGCGTGGGTGGCAGGCAGTCTGTTGTAGTTTGAACTCTGTGTGGCCATCGGGACATCGTAGAGATGCCGTCGGAGGATACCACCAGAGTTGCTGTCGGTCTGTGCTGCCGGCGGCCTGTGTGCGAAGGGTAAACACGAGGGAAAAGCCGGTGGATGAGAGAGTAAAGCCTTCTGCTGCTAGTAGGTTGCTATGCTATGCTAACTCCCAATGCTTTTGTGGGGGAGATGATTGAGCATACGCGCCGTTGCGATTATATCGCCGGATAACTTATCCCCCTCCCCCTCCCCCCTCCTTCTGTCCACGGTTAGTACTTCCCGAGATCAAAGGCGTTCTCATCACAGGAAATTAACGCGGTTGCTTCGAGGATGGGAAGAGAGAAAAAAATGAAGATGAGAAAGATTAAGGAAAGAGAGCGTGTGAGAGATTAAGGAGAGAGACATTGTGAGAGAGAGAGAGAGATAGAAGAGAAGAGAAAGGAAGCGTGAGAGGCGTTTTGGTGGCTTTATTCAGTTGAAAGCAGGCGTGCCGTGCTTAGAGACCTGTTTGTTTGCTTCGCATGCGCGCGCGAATGTGAGGCGGAGAAGGCGATGCAGTGTACACACTGCTGTGGGAAGCTGCTGTGAAAGTATTACACGAGAAAAAACATAACACACGCGCAACTAACTAAAACTATAGACGATTTCCCTACGGAAATTATGGCAAATATTTATGAGACACGTAGAAACGCAAATATACGCAGCCCTCGTGGGAATCTGCATGGTGGTGCGCATCGATGTTACTGCCTATACACGAGAAAAAAATCCCCGCGCAGAGAACAAGCTACCAGATGCAGACGACAAATTGCGGTCGGCGCGATAATCTACACACAGCTCCTTGCCGTGGGTGTGGGGCGGTGGCTGTCTTGAAAATAAGTATTTAGTATGTAGTTGCCTGTACACATTACTATATGACAATATGTAATAAACGTTTCTCTGTACGTGTAGAATGGGTATGAGTGATCTAATGTGTACATCCTAAATGTATACATTTCAAAGTAAACATTTTTAAAGGTAGCATGTAATGGCAAATTAAAATATTATCATTTGTGGATTTGTCAATTGTTTGTTGAACACGAAAGTTCTAACTTATCTTAGCAGATTAGCAGATATTAGCTATTTAACTTGAGATTTTACAGAAGAATCGAGTGGCTAACAAGGAATCTATGAGAATTTCAATTATAACCTGATCTTAATCTTGATATTTCTCAATCTGATTGATTTTTTATTAGATTTCCATGCTACATTATGTCACTGGCACTGTGATTGTGTGGCCAGTCATATATTACCATTATTGCCATTATAGTTGTTAAACTATAATATCAGGAGTGAATAATAATAGATTATGGATAATCTATATAGAATAATCTATTATTATTCACTCCTGATAATATGTATAAATTGTGATTTTATATAAATGTTCATTTAATACAGTCTTAATGTTCAGCGTTTATAAGGCCTTGAAGAAACGCAGCTCTATAGTGGAATCACTATGGTAGGGTAAAGGGATGTATATCAAAAGTACATAATTAAATAGGATCTCCTATTATGTACTCTTGATGTATATGCAGCATGTTGAATAATAGACTCGTAACCATTTACACACTGTTCAGCAGAACATACAGTGGTATAAAGCTTTCCACAAGGATCACATGTGGATATCAGAAGATGTTTATAGTTGTGCCTATGTAAACCATCTGTCCCGATTAAATATTTAAGGGCATTTACTGAAGCTGCATGTATATACATAGCCACAATGTAGTGCCGTATCAATGGTCTGTGTACATGCATTTATCTCTAATTAACACATTACTCAGGGCTGATCACACTCCATCAACGATTCTTATTCGTATCGCATATTGCACCATTTAGGTAGAGGTTCGTCTATTCCGTTTATCATCCAGTAGAATTCCCCCCCCTCTTCTTTTGTATTTTTCAATGCGTGGAAAATTATCTGATGTCGTAAACCTTTGATTGCGTGAGAAGCTCAGTAACATTCCTCGCTTTGGGTAAATTCACCCTGATCTGAGCTCTCATCGCATGTGAAACCTGTCCTATGGTGAAGCTTCTGGCCACCACTCATGCAGTGTCACAAACGCTCTTTTGCGCACGCTAGAGATTTATGTGTTGGGATCATCGGCGCTCGACGCCAACCCTGATATCATTCCGCTGTGTACGAAACAACGTTTTAATATTACATCTTCGCGTATGTGCGTGGGACCACGCAGTATGAACCCCCCACACATCTCCCCACCATCGTCCCTTCCATTACGAGTATTTCCTCCCACTCCCGCGATGTTGGCGTCGGCCATCTTACCGTTCCCGCCGTCGTCGCTCACGCGCGATATCTCATGTTGCAGGGACACCAGCGACGTCGGGCCGGGAATGGGCTAGACGCGTGCGGCGTCGCCCCAACGCCATTGCCGCCGCCGGCGCCGCGCGTCGCCGCGATGCATGTGCCGCCGGTCTTCACGTCGGTGCTGCTGCTGCTGCTGCTGTGGGCGGCAGCGGCGGCCCACGGCTGCCCGGCGAGCACGGGCTGCACGTGCACGACGGTGCGCGCGCGCACCGAGGAGCGGCCCGTCATCGGCAAGAAGGTCGTCTGCGCGGGCAAGCCGGGCAACGTGATCACGCACGTCGCCGCCATCAAGCCGGACCTGCTGCCCGCCGACACCCTGCAACTGTAAGTATGCTGGGACGTGGGGTGGGTGTGGATGGGATGGGGAGGGAAGGGAGGGGCCAGACAGGCTGGGTGGACGGGGTGGGTGTAAATGGGACGGGTAGGGAGGATGTCGGGGGGCACACAGGGTAGGTGGATGGGCTGGGTGTGGATTGGACGGGTAGGGAGGATGGGGGGGGGGCACACAGGGTAGGTGGATGGGCTGGGTGACGTGGAACCCACCCCTCTCTCCCTCTCATATCATCGTGGAGAGTACACGAGCTCTTCACTCTCACCAACCCGCGGGCGGCGCGTGTGTATTTGGCGCGATATTGCTCGGTAAGTTACGAAATGATTACGGCTTCTATCAGGCTCCTTGATTCCATTGCTGAACACGTCACAGCAGAATGTCGTGAAGACGTACGCGCTCAGTCCTCGCACGCGTGACGAGTCCGGTTTGAGTACAAGCTTGCTAGCTGCTCGCGTCCATGGCGCGTCGTAACCCTGCTGCTTTGCATGAGCAACTGTCGTCTGTCGTGTCGTTGTCACCGATGCGCGACAGATGCGTGCAGCGTTGCTGCCGAGCAGTGTGTTACCGAGCTAAAGCTGTATTATACCATCTGCCACGTAAACGCGCGCCTACGCGTGTGGAGGGATGAGTGAGTGTGTGTGCGCGCGTGTGTGTGCGTGCGTGCGTGCGTGCGTATGTATGTATGTGCGTGTGTGTGTGACTGTGTGTGTGTGCGCGCGTGCGTTCTTACGTATGTATGGGTGCGTGCGCGTGCGCGTGCGTGCGTGTGCGTGCGTGTGCATGCGCGCGTGCGTGTGCGTGCGTGCTCCTGCATGCGTGTGCGTGTGTGCGTATGTGCACGCGCTTCCCAGCCTAAGTGCAGATTATTGCGTCGGCGCGGTTTGAACTGTTGTACGCGGTGAGTGAGTCGCTGCGGGTTAAGCCTGCGCGTCAACATCAAACGGGGCGGGCAGGCATTCGGGAGAGCCGCTGCGTGAGTGAAATGTCAACGACTGACTGCGCTGCACTGTGTGCGGACGTGGACGGCGGGGAGGATCGTGGGGGGGGTATAAATCCGCTCTGATACACTCTCGCACAAACGAATCGATGTTTTTTGGCCGAACGCTGCTCGACGACCGCGTCAACGACCACCAAACTCCTTATTATAGAGTCATGCCCTCTCTCACTCACACACATACGCACGCACGCACGCACGCACGCACGCACGCACGCACACGCATGCAGCACGCATACACGCACGAACGCTCTCTCTGTCCCCCTTACTCTCACTCCCTGTCCCTCCCCCTTCCCCCTCTCTCTCTCTTCGTCTCTCTCTCTCGGTGTCGCGGTGAGATCGGCTGTGTGCAGCTTGCGTGCGTGTACGTGCGTGGTTAGTACTAATGAGGGCTAACGCAGAAACAAACGTCAGCCGAAGCCATTGCATTGTACGAGCTTTCCATTCATCCGGCTGTGAGGCTTTCAGTCAAAGAGCCGTACATTTCATGCGTCCGTGCGTATGTGCGCTGTGTATATAGGCGTTTTCGCTCTCCGCCGCCCTTTGAGGAAAGTTTTTATTTATTGAGGAAAATTCGCGGTATTTT